CCCACCACATTAAGGTAACGAGTAAGGCTCCGATTCTGGACCCTGATAACCTTCTCTGGAGTGGCGAAGTTAACATTGTTTAAAAAGCGTTCGACACGCTTGACCCAGACTGGAAGTGAATTCTGGATGCAGCTGTTATCAGGATGGTCATATCAGCTTCTGAGACTGCATCGTTGGCATGAAAAAAGCTAAAAACAAATAAAAAAAACACATTTCGAACGTACCTACGGTGATATTATCAAGATGACTTGCGCTAAGAATGTTCTCTCAAAAAGCTCTGTGCGAATCTTGGTCACGGACAGAACAGATATTGGTTACACAAAGTAACACATTAACTGAGATTGAACTTTCCTTCTACTTTGATAATATATAATTCACAACCCTCTCCAATACAACGCATACCCACACAAGAATTGTTTCTATTTAACGAACGTATGCCTTCCACGACTCATGAGGTATATTTTTAATACCATCGTAAACTTGCCGCGTTAGTTTCGGACTCCATGTCGATTTCAATCCTTGTCGACTCTGCGATATTACTACATCAACCCCCCGGCCCTCTTAAAGCAAATCCACTGTTCTATATTAATCTCTCTATATAACATTTGTGTATCGCTAGACATGATCCAAGTGCGTATTAACGAATTTTATTCCAAAATTACATGCTAGAAAACAGCTGTCTGGGAGGATAAAATAAACATCGCACTTCTACCCAGGGCGATTCACGGATCTTCAACGGGCGACGAAAATGTCTTCGCCAGGATTATTTATGACAATGTACGTCGTAGCCGGCGGCGGTAAGACATCTCCAGACCCTTCACTGCCCACTTACGCGTAGGCATCGGAATAAATGATCATCGATGCAAATAATATATGAATATGAGCCTGTGCAGAGGGCTCCGTGCTGTCATAAGATATCCTAGAACGTACACCATTTATGTACTTTGAAAAGCATCAAAAAGTAGCTCGTTCTTTAATCTAGAAATAGTCGAACATAAACACTCAGTATGTTTGTGCCAGACATCGGAAAAAAAATAGGTGTCCACGAATGCACTTTGTCTGTTTTGAGAATATACATAATACTGCGTAAGCCGGCGTAAGTGAAAACGATACAAGTGCTATTGGACACAACTGGGAGCCGGCGCCGGTGACGCGTCTCCACGGCAGTGTAGCGGGTGAGGTACTTGCCTGATAACTTTAGGGGTACGTCATGGTTTAGGTTCCCATTCAAATACGGATACAGCCGTCTGATGGAACGCCTAACGGCAGTGTTTGACACGACACTCGAAACATAGACAAGCGCCAATAACGAACGCATGCACGATACAGGGTCAATGTGATACAATTTATCCTGTTAAAGTAAAGCCAGCCTAGGAAACGTCCCTTTGTAGTGGGATGCGCGCTACAAATCGGTTATTCTTTGGGCAAGATCCAAATATTTCGTTTCTTGCCTTTAAATTACATAGGAATATAGTCTGAAAATAGTGGTCGCCTTTTTTTATTCTTTTATGAATTGGTCTGTGCCAGGTTGGATAAATGATCGACAGAGAAGTCGGTAAGGTAGACACAATTTACCATTTTGTCCACCCCTGTCAAACTATAAGAATGTATTAGTTTTTTATTTATGAAAACATTTCTCTTCTATGACTTGAAGCCGATGCTGATAGCTTAGCTTGTATGGCAAAAGACATATAACGTCTCCACCGAGTCAATGACTGTACAAAAGCCAACGTTGCAAGCTAGACCTCAATTAGACTTAGAACGCCCTCGGGAATATCGGCTTCTCTAAAATATCCCTGCTGCAAAAAGATTGTTATGACCAAACTTATAGAATGTATTCTAAGTTAGACAGCTTTGCTATGAGAAACTTTGCCTAGGTTAAAACAAATAGTTCCACTTTTCATTGGTTAGATCGCATCCTTCGTTATGAAGTTTTTAACGTCAGTGAGCTACCGTCTTCCCGAAGACCACTAGGCCAAGCTTCGGTTACGACCAATTAATTCCGGAGCGCTCCAACAGTCAGAGTTGTTCAGGCTCATTTCTAGTGTTGTCTAGGAGAGCAGTTTTGATTTTAACTGGGTATAGCTAGACAGTTCTTCCCTTCTGAGGTGCTCTGGCCAAAGCATTGTTGCTTGGGGTAAAAAAAAAAGAATGAACATTTCGATGCGTCGGAGTTTGGCCGCTTACGTAGCGTAAGCGGCCATACTCCGAGTTACATAATAACAATTCTTATGTTTCAGTCCTATATAATACAATATGTACTTATATATAGTAATTATTATTCGATCCATATAAATAGTAATGTAACACATACTGCAATGAACAAGCGGTTATTATTATTATCATTGCAATCGCAGGGAAAAAAAAAACGAGATATTCTCATATGAACCTGTTTACGAAGAGCGAGATTTTCCACTAAGTCATCCTCCTCGACGGCGTTTTTTGTGTCTGGACATTATATATACCTTCGAACCATAACTACGTTCCTTTGCCTTCCTCTTCGTTTTTTAGGAACTGGCCTATCAGGGCACCGAACGGCGCAGAATAAAAAGAAAATATGTCACAATAAACCTTGCGCGACCTTGGATGCGTCTGGTTCCTTTCATCGTCGTAGTGGTCGTAGCATAACCATGGTAGAATGAATAGCAACATTAGCGATCCAGGTTTCCATGGTTCGCCGCCGCAGCCATGGCTTGGTAACCAAAATAGTGTCAGCTGGCAAAGTTTATTATTATTATTATTGTTTATATTACAATGGCTTCTATTACAATGGGGAGTGTTCCGGGGCCATATGCTCCGCCTTCGCTTATTCCCCATGTTTTTTTGCTTTGACGTTCTCGCTGTCCATAGGCGACACGTAAGGTGTACAGCTCTATCCCCATTGTTCATCGTCTTGCCTATTGTGATAACCTTTAGTTCCTTTTTTAGCCACCGTCGGCCCGAACGTAAAGGCAAAGCGGGGCAGTCACTAAGTGTTTCCTGCGATGAGATCGTGGGTACACATCGAAAAAAGCTAAACATTTTTCAACTAAACAGCTACGCCTGTGATGATATTTGTAACGAGGCGAGGAATTTTACTATTATTTCGAATAAAGCCAATGATAACGATACTGTCGCATTAAACCGTAACAAGCCCTATCATCGTACTGAGATGAACAATGGGACCAGTATCAAGAGCAATAATTCGAAAGCCCGTTGCGTAGTTGAAGGAGGGTACCAATTTGTTTGTCTGAGAATCCTACAAACACATGCTAGGAAGGATCAGATACTGTAGATGCAATTGGTTTCTTAAAGGGGGGGCAGCGCTTAAAAGTAATATTGGAAGTACAACTTAGTCAGAAGCAGGCGTATAAACGACAACATCTATTAAAGTATACGTACAGTTCCTAACTGATGTGTTATAGGGGTTGCTCAATATGTACAATAAACATTTAGAAAAAAAAAAAAAAAAACGCACTTCATGCTGCAGTTTGCATAGAGCAGCTGAGTACAGTATGGAATATATATTTCACTGCTTACCTCGATAGCTTTAGCAGCTTAACGTCTCATTTTGCCGTTATGCTTACTTATGTAGTAACTGGTTAATATCGGACGCTCGTTCAGACGGGTTAGTGGTAAAACTATTCGCAATAAGTGACTTTGATAGCGTACGTTACAATACCCAACAATTTATTACTAAAAATATTATATAAACACTGATCGCTGAAATGCACATCTACGAAACTACTTTCAATATTGTTATCTGACAATAAAACTGATAATTTTTTGCTATCAATAAGATCTACCCTTGCTTTAGCGGCTAGTTTGTGATCCAGTTAGGTACTAAGAGTATTTGTCTATTGTCTAGTATTATTGTTATTACTAAAGTTACAAAAATTACAGTCGTACTTATTTCAGCATCTAATTTAAATCAATCTAAATATTATCTCCAGTTATTGGGAAAGTTCCTGGCTAAAAGATGACTGCTGTGGCTTGTCTCACTGAAGAAATTTCGGTAATTTCGAAATTCTCTGATCCAAATCCGTTTGTTAGCCCGGATAGCTTTTAAGCTCCCTTCAGCCTTGGCGTTTCTAAAGAGGTAAACAGGAAACAAAGTAACTCGCATGCATGCTTACAGATAATGGCTAACAATATAAAGGTGGTATAAATTTAGTAGCTTGCGCGATTATGCAAATTATTTTAAACATGGCGTTCGGGTCGAAAACAAAATTTCATTATTGATCTCGGCCCGTAGTATCCTTCTACAAGCACTGTATCGTGGTGGGAAAAGTCTGGACGGACCAAAAATGACCCACAAAAAGACTATACCGGCTGATTCTAGCGGCCGAATACAATGGTTCATCTTGCAGCCTCACACGGTTAGTAGTGGTTGTACCGGTTGGGAAGATGAAACTTGCGTTTTAAATTGAAATGTTTGGGTTTTTTGTTGTAGATAATATGGCAGCTCATAGTTTCTAATCTAAGGACGAGGTATAAAAAAAAAAAAGCTTTAAAGACATAGAATGATTATTCTTTGGAATAATATTCAAAGGCCAATAAACTGGGCTTTACAAGATCGAGCACCTAAGCTCAACAGTACGATCAAAGTGAATGATATCGTTATAAGAAGATAATAAACCAGTAGCCTTTTTAACGTTCAAAATGTCCAGGTTTCCTTACTAATTTTGACAAAGGGAGAGGAGTAAGTATTAATCGAGCTTTTCTAATTCTGAGAAACTCCATTCCTTTTATTTAATGCCATTGCAATACTCACATAGGAAGAAATGTGATTTGAAGCTACCCTAAGACCCCATCTAATTCTGGCATATATCTGACGCCTGCTAGTGGCCCCCCTGTTCAGTCAACAGCCAAGCTCGTCTTTGACTCACGCTAGCCATTTCACGTCAGCCGAAGGCAAACTCAAACCCAAATGGAACAAGGTTAACTTCAATTATACATCAGTATTCAACTATTGTTATCTAATAACTTGTGTCTATCTAGGTGTTCGTGCTTCTACTAACCAACCGCTGGCGTATAGATGTTAAGGTATAGACAGTCCTCGCTCTGTTTTTGTAGATGTGGCAGTAGACGCCGCAGGTGTTCAAGTCTGCCCGCGGGCATTCGGCGAAGGGCATCCGTCTCGTTGTGCACGTCAGGCGGCTTCTGGGGACAGACGGGCGCTGGTCGGTCGGCCATACGAATGCCCTTCCAGTGCGTCGGCGTTCCCGGTGGCATGAAACGCATGGCGCCGGTGGGTGCCGAAGCGTACGGCACGCCCAGGAACACCTCGACTGGCTGAAGGCTGTGTCGTAGACCACCTTCCGGACTCACAATAGAGCCTTTTAGAGCGCCGTACTTGGTCGTCACCGTGCGCGAGCTGAGACGCCCTGAGCCGTCCGCCTCACAGGGCCCGATCAGAGCTCCCCAAAAAGCCACAACTAAGAGAAGCGGCACAAATTTTACGGTCCCCACCATTATCACCGCGGCCGTGAAACGCTCATGCGCATCAGCGAACAAAGACAGCTTGAGTAGTCCGCGTGGTGTCCGTGGCGAAAACGCTGACGACTGTGACATCATCCGGGGCATCGCCACAGCACTTGCCGTAGAAGACGGAGGAAGAGTTAGAAAGGAGGGTGAAAACCATGATCTAATCGTTGATGATGGTAATGCATTCGTTGATGGTAAACATGTAGCCGAAAGGGGCCAAGAAGAAGAGCTAATGCCGCTGTAACAATGGCCGTGCAAGTTGTCGCTGCCTTGTTTTTCGATGCTGCTGTTAGTTAGGGAAGATGTGGGGTCTTCGTTTTGATACGGTCGAGGTCGTCTCGGCCCAGGCCATTGTTGTGGAGCTGCCTCATCTATAGCATACATCTTGAGCAGCATACGCTAACTCAGGCAAACAAACTCGACTGACACGCCTGCTTTACAGTTAGTGAAGGTGACGGCGGCGATTTCACGTGTCTTGCACTGCTGTGTGAGGATCTGACGTGGGGCGTTCACTAGTTGTCTGTGGGCGTTGGCCAGCCGATCAGGTTGGCGGGAGCGGGGCCGGGGAAGTCGCCTTACTCAAGGTGTCCGCCACATTTTGATCGGATGACAAACGTTCCTTGACGCCAAGTAGATTCTGTTCTGGCGCTGCTGTTAGCTGTCTTGCCTTTGTCGCACATTTAGTAGATGGTGCCACACAAAACGGTGATTAAAATTTATGACGTCGCTGGACGATGCCGCGCGTAACTCTGGCTGTAGTAAGTGCTTGTCGTGTTGTTGTTTTTGTTGTTGCAAGGGTACCAACAGTCGAAGCTGTAGAAAGTGTCGTGATAGCCTGACGTACCGGTTGTTATCCACGGGCATTGCACAAAAACCACAGCCATAACCACTAATCTAGTGAAGTGAACTCTAGTTACGCATCAATGACCATACATACACAAATGTGTATGATAGTCTAAAATAACTAATGTATGCTATTCTAGCAGTTCATAATAACGACGCTCGATTCGAATCACTGGCTACTCACGCACTCATTCATAAACGACAAACGTTTATTGTAGGTTGACCAAGTCTCATGCGTTTGGGTGAACCTTAGATCATACGTACTGCACAGGCCAAGGACAGATGCACGAGGAACTCGCACTCGTACGCTAGGCTTCACTTAACACAACTTTCATCACTAGTACACACTGTAATTCAACCGGGACTGATCGATAGCAATAACGATGAAATGATCTGACTGACGGCGTATTGGGGGGGGGGGGGCGGGGGGGGCAGGGGTTCCAGATAGAGGCTATCCGGCGCACTGTACACCGTGCAGTAAAGCAATCCGTGCTAGTGCACTTCCTTCTAGTAGTAATAGTATGGCTAACATGCAACAAGAGCGATTCTATCACAGTAGTTTAAAATGAATAACACCAATAAAACACGTTAACTAATCACTTCACAGCTACTATTAATTAGCTGGTATATATAAGCGGCATGGATTTTTATCATGACAAATTTCACAGTCACTCTCATCAAAAGCGAGACTCAAACATATAGAAAGTTGGCGGTGGCAATAGAAACGATAACATGTACAGCGCCGACAACGTGGTACTGGCTTGATGTGGCCTTTGCTATTTGTGGTACTTCACTACCACAATCAAGTCGTTTCATTGATCACGTCTGGCACGATCTGACGGCGGCGCTAACGCTAACGTACGGTTCACGCACCGTAAGGACGTCGATTTCATAAAGACATTCGTATATTTGAAAAAATCTGTAACTTTGGTATGTCGTTTATGACCGCTGACGAGACGCTGGCTGCCGATGGCTAGCTTCTGCAGCGTCATCTACAGCCAGGATGCACAGTTGCCAAGCGTGACAATATATATCTTTTTTTGTGTCTTTGAATCGATCTGAAAATATTTCAAGTCGCCGATGGCGCCTTCGTCGCCTATCGCACTCACGTCACCTCTTTGTCGACACTATAGGTTTCACACACGTGCCACAGTATCTTCGTGCGTATATATTGACCTGGATTAAGTCTAGCCCCCGGTTGCTCGCGAAAGCGATATGTATCGCACGTAGACACTCACGTAATCCACCACATGACTGCTGTGTTTTGGCAGGAGTTTCGAAAGAGGTCAATTGTCGTTTCTACGCAAAGAAGTCGGTATAATCTAGTCACCCGGCCGTTGTTAGCACCGAAGGTAATAATAGCATTAGACACCTTCGTTACTATTGATGTTGAAATTTAGCTCCAGCTCGCGTTGTTAGCTCTTTCCCTCGAAGGTTTGATACTCGTGTGCTAACAAACGATAGAGGTTATACGGCAACGAACATAAGAACAGAATAGGTCGACAGAGTAACCAGCGGGCTGCGCGTATCTGTCACAACAAGCTACGTATCATATATAGATATATGGAGCATATAGAAGGGGATGGCGCCGGACAAATCAGGTAGGTCGGCCGTGTGGGCGACCCGAGTGCCGATAGTGCCGCCACGCATAGAAGTCTAGAGGGTAAGACGCGGTCTGAGCCTGGCTTTAGCGGGTACGGCCGGGGAGGGGAAGAGAGACCGAACGAAGGAAAGGCACCTAGAAACGGCCACGACCATCGTCTGGGAGAGGGAACCGCCGGTGGATCCTTTCCCTCTTCGCTCTGCTCCGACCTCTGCACAGGTTGCTCCTGAGTCTGAAACCGCCTGGCAGCCTGGCGATCTGCAAGGTGGGCCGCTAGCATGCTTGCCAAGTAGAGACGTAATTGAAAGCATGCAGGAAAGCTTAGAAATGCAACATGTAGCAGCTGAAACGATGGGACGGACATGGACAGAAAAAAAACAACGCGTTTCCGCTCTGGCCCGAGCGAGTTCGACATTGTACTGTGTACGCATAAAGAAATATGCCAGAGAGCTAGACGAAAATAGATTGATCAAGAAACGAGAAAAGAAACCAGTGTGTGCCGCACTCTGTGCTGTGGGGTGTATTCTGTTCGTCGCTTTGCATTTGCCTTTTTGTATAGAGCATTCGCGACGGGTTCGGAGGTACTTTGCCCGACGAATTACTGGATTACTTGTTCGGTAGCAGCACTAGTGATCGTCAACCGAACAGCTGAGCGTATAGTTCACGCATCACCTAGAGCTGTTTCTTTGCTGGGTGATGTTGATGATTGACACCAATAGGAGCAATTGATAAGTGTAACGGCTGGAAGTATTACGATATTGACAATGGGAAGAATGAGACAATAAGACGTGTAGAATCCAACGTACGCTCCACTGTATTACCGGCGGTAAGACAGTAGGTGTACGAATGTGCAACGACGATGATGACTTTATACATACATACCGCTGCAATAAAATCATCGCCATATACATATTTGACCACCATATTTTTTCTATTATGCTTGTGAGAATTTAAAAAAATATTATTATTTTCAGATTTAGAGGCTCCTTTTGGAAAGAAGCATGAAAAGGAGCGATATCTGTCGACTCAATCTTTACGAATGGATACCGTATGTAGCCATTCTGTTAAATATAAGAGATCAGCAATATAGAAGGATGCATGTTATTCATCTCTGTTAATATGCGGACAATTTCCAATTTAGGATGTACATATTTGAAACAGCGTTTAAAATCCAATAAACTAAAGGTTTTAATACTCAGTCAATTTTCAAAGAAACCCTCCGACATGAGTAAGATGAAGAATTCTATCAGTCGTAATACCGACACATCGTAATCGGTCATAATCTATACTTACATATTCATCGAGCCTTTCACATGAAGATGATAGCTAATAAAGATATTTGTTAGTTTTATGTACGTTAGCTTTCTACCTAAAGCCAATTGGAAGATCAAAGTCGCTTGAAAGATATACGAATTGTTTAACACGTATAATGCATGACTAACAATTACGTCACCCCGGTTGTGCTCTTCACTTTAACACTATTTGGATGATTTATTTCAACTGAACGTATAGGCTCGTTTAACCAGCGTGTATGTTATTGCACTTTGTCTTCACATAAAAATCTCGCCATTACAAGACAAGAAACGTATGGATATTAGCTCTAGGAAATTTTAGCCTAATGAAAAATTATATTCTTGCTTAAACTTGGATCTTTTTTATATCTCCGCAAAAAGGTACGATGAACCCCAATGAATATTCTATCGTCCCAGGGGACGAAGGTGCGACCCTACAGTTGACTCGGTAATAGGTTTCATCCTTTTGTCCAGAAAATTAAGCATTTCCTCAAAGCAAATGATCATTTGTGTGGCCTGATTCAAGCTATGCTCGAGTGTGCGTTTATGAACGAGCTGGCACATTGTCCAGTCAATTTTGAAAATCGCGGGTTTTCAATTTCTAACAACATTGACAGTTTAGCATGCAGACCTCTACCAGTAATAAATGCACCTGCTCGTGCAACCGGTGTCACATTCGACAATTGTCCGTATATCCAGTGAAGTAATAGAGCAAGCGACCGAGTAAGGCGAAGCCTTTTTTTGGCGCGATTGCCAAAAGAGGTTTCACAGAATGGCCACCATCGAAGGGGACGGCGATAAGGCAGATCGGTTAGCTGCGACATGATCAAAATTGCAATTTATCAATTGGAATATCGAACCGGTCGCTGCTGCTCTGACGTTACATTACGAGCACCGGCGACATCATACACCGCTGGGGTTTCACGCTCCCGAACGACAGCGTACCGGGAACCACGCTGTGGTGGGCGCACTGCCAGACACCATAGGAGTCACTTCCTCGATTGCTTTTCCTTTTGTCCTCTATTTATACCAAAACAACATTGTACATCCTTTATGCTACTATACGTTGCCACGTGCTGCTGGAGTTGCTCGGCGTGGATCGAACTTTTTTTGGACAGCGGCGGGTATGTTGAATACGCACCCAACAACAACAACAGTAACAACTACTTCGTTACTAATTTATCTTCATGAGGACGTCCCCTGGCAAGTACCTACTTACAGTACACTTAGCTGTCAGCGATTATCTCGACACATTCACGCGGTGTAAATATAAGTTCGCAAAGCTATGCTAAAGGACGTTTTAAGCAGGATGCGCAGATCTGCTCATACTTCAGACTAATTACAGGTGGCGTATGTACGTATTTTCAGTCGATGCAGTTCCAGAAATGCAGCTACTCGTTTATTGTTGAATGTAAATTGGTAACTGTAGGTAGTACTGGACGACGTTCTAACCCTCAATTAAACATCGCGGTCAAGGGTAGCATAAACTCAAGTTGTCCAAAAATGACTTTACATAACGGTTCGTGTTCTTCTAGTTTCAAACTGTTTCGCAGAGCAGAACTTGTAAGAATTGCTCTACGGCCAAGAGCGCCAAAACACAGCAAGCTATTAGCGGGATACGTAGATTCTCATTGATAGCACGGCTTATAAAAGAGAGGTCTCGAAGATAAGAGATCTCTTGGGATCTGGTGTAACGTGATAGTACGCGCGGAAGTTTTCCAGGAAGATCCGCAATGGCTCGTCGGTTCTTTTTTTCGTTTCCATGAGTAGGACAAAAGTATAGTTTTGGGAAAAAGTTTCACGAAAGCTGAGGATTCCCTCTTAAATAGGAAGTGCAAAACCAGCTTGACTCTGTAACAGCACGAGTACCGTTCTGCGTCATGTCGAATGTTTTTCTCCCGCTTGAGATGAGCGGCAAGATCCTATGAGATTTAGACTACCAACGACAGACCAACCGCCCTGCAGTTGGTACACAGATAAAGGGAGGCGAAGATTCGGAAACATGGACCATTTTCTGAAGTGGCCTGTCCTATGAACGAGATTTTTTCTGTGGGCGAGAAACGGTCAGCCACGAAAATGTGAGTCCATTGATAGGACTGATAAGACAGACTCACCGTTCTCCGTTTCCGTATCAGCGTTAACCTAAACCTCAGACCTAAAGCCCGCTTTACTCTATCGTCATTAGGGTATATTAGAGCTCGTTCGGTAGCCCTTTTCGATTCTGTTTGGAGCCTTGGATAGGACCATCAGTCTCAGGCTATTGATCGTGCTGAATGTATCTCACTTAGAAGACTTCTTATTCACTCTTTGGTTATATTGTTAGCTAACAGATAAGAAGACGGAAAGGCAAGCCGGTAGTGTGTATGAGCTCACATTGTATATGATATGCTCGTCTTACTTCATAGACCTGCCGAAATTTTGCAAGGGGTTTCTGAAACAGCAAATTTTTTTCTTGATACGGTTTTGATGTACTAATTTTTTCATTTTA